CTTAAGTCAATGCCACGTTAGTTTGTTTGTTAAATGAAACGTCAAATAACAGTTCTGTGAACATTCATTGCATTTTTCAGGTTTTTAAGCAATCCCACTGCCCAAAGAGGTCAATCTCTTTAGAAGCGTTTGGACAATGAAATCAATGTTGGCTTTGTTAGTTTCTTTAAACAGTTCATTCGTGGGTTTGCCTTATGCACATTACTATAATCTCTTAATTCCTTGTTGAGTTGACGACATCTATCACCATGAAGATGATAGATAACATATATCTATAGATGAAGAGAATCTATTAAGACGAATGAGTTAGAACGAAGTATTACTGATAAATTTGATACATGAAGTCTTTTCATAGCCAACGCCGCAGTGCTATTTAATTGGTCATATAATTGGTCATATGTGTGTAATCATGTACTAACAAATTTCCCATGTCAGTCTCTAAATGTACTTCAATTGCTGCAAAACAAATCACTTTTACCTCACTTTATCAATTTCAGTCAAAAGGTTTGTCTGACTGTCTGTCTGTCTGACTGTGTGTCAGTCTGTCCGTCTATCTGTCTATTTGTTTACCAGTTTATTGTTTGTTAGTATATTTGTCCACTCTGGTTTCTATGGCATATTTGTTTTTGGTTTATGGTTTCGTTGGTCAAGCATATTGGTACCGTAAGCCACATTTTCATCTGCGGCTACGGTTTTTCTCTACAGTTACCTTTATGCACATCTGGGTTTTATTAGAAACTTGTTTGGAAATTTATTGGTGAGCAATTTTAATTTTCTGAAAATTACATGATTTGTTTGCTGTCTGTGTGTAAATAAAAAGTATAAATTAAAAAAATAATAGCTGCACTCAACGTTCATTTAAGAAATGAATTTAAATGACTTACTTTTTGCATTTCACATAGTAAATTTAAATAATTAAATTGAATGGCAAATTCCAAAATATTCGCTACATATACGATTCTAATAGTGAAATCATTTCCATTCCAATTTAATTAAAAATGATTTTTAAATGTTAATAATAAACTTATTTTCTATTTTCCATTTAAAAGTTTGTATAATTTGAGTTTTTGGACTTGGTCATTTGGGACCACTACACATAATATAAGGTTGTTTGGAAAGTAATTTTGTTTTTTTATGGTAATAATAAACATTCTTATATGTAGTTATAGTTATAGTAAGTAAATATTTTTTTGATTTATATATTGTCCATTCTGGTTCAATTTATTTAGCCGCAGGAATATGGAGCTTATTATTTATATTTTGAGCCTTGGCAAACATTGATTATTCTCAGAAGTCAATTGTAGTTTCCTTACGAAAGTTTGGCATTATTAAACAAAACCTACCTTAGATTTTTTACAGTGATTTGTAAATTGAGTGTACTCGAAAAAATGGAATTGACGCGAGAAAATTTTTGTACGATGATTTATCATGACTTTAGACGTGGGTTGCGAGTATCAAGACAAGAGTGTATATATCTACTTACTTCCATACTTGGCAATGCAGCCAAATGTTCATTCTTTGCCACAGTGAAACGCTAGTACAATAATTAAAATCGTGGTCACATTTCACTCACTGATAAACTGGACGAATTTGTGAAGCTCGTTCAAAATCAGTTGTTGTGGCAGAAAACATGGATGCTTTGCAATAACTGAAAAAGTAAGATCAACATGAGATATGATGTGAGATTTAGGAGACCTCTAGGCATTAGTTCCACCAGCATATATAAAATATCCCACTATCATTTAGTTGTGAAATACGTTGGGTTATGGAATACGTTTGGATTCCATAACCCATCATTTGACAAAATCTCAAAAAGATGCTTGTGTTGATTGAAAACGTATACTTGTATAAGATTGTTACAGCTAATGAATCATGGATATATGCGTATGATTAAGAGCCTGGAAGAGCAGTAAACAACAGTTGACTCTATGGGTGTTTCGAACCAAATCCAACAAAAGTTGTTCGTGCTCGAAACAGTTCGAAACAAATGGTCGGTTGTTTTTTCGAGAAAAATGGTCTATACCGGGAAAACAACTATACCATTACAGGAACGTAAAACGGTTAATACCGAATGGTATGCAACCACTTCTTCACCAAGTGTTTTTCAATAAAATACGGAAAACAAACAAGTACCCTCTGATCATTCTTCATCTCCATGAAGACAATGCGAGTGCTCACACTTCTTCTAACAACTCACTATTTGAACATTCAAAAAATCGACAAGTCAATTGATGGGTCATCCGCCATACAGTCCTGATTTGGCACCCAATGACTTTTACTTTTTGACTTTTTGTTCCCGAATGTCAAGAATACTCGTAAATTGCGTGGACAACGATTTTTTTCGGCAGAGGAAGCAGAAGCTGTTGTTGCATTTAAAAACCATGTTTTGGAGGTGTCTGAACTTAAATACAAATTCTGGGGCATCTCAACTTAATGGAGTTTTGTGTAGTAAATAATTCTGAAAAATTTTTTCTACTACGCCATATTTCGATATCGGATAATTCTCTAAATGACGGGATTTAAGGTTTTAAACTTTTTACATTTATTATATATGTTACGTGAATGTTTTAAAGACATTCTTATTAAAATAGAACTTCTCTGATAATTTCGAATGAAACATATATTGTTGTATGATTAATTTTATTACTGGATATAATTCCAGCGAAGTATTTCTTATCATTTGATTATTAATAAATAATTATTAATCAATTATTCTTTAACATGTAGACGATTTTTATAAGCTTATTAATATAAAATGTGCAAGTAAGGTCACATTTCTAAAAATACAAGACTTATGTTACTCAGTAGTTGTCAAATTCCTTATCACCTGTAATCTATAATATAGGTATATCAGTACATACAAATAACTGTGGTAATACATTGGAATGTACAAACATGTTTTGTTAACATAATTTCATTTTATTTGTTGACTTTATTTAAAAGAATTGTTGCTTAATTACTAAATATTATAGTTATTATGTATGAATAGTTATTTTTTGATATATTTTATAAATAAAAACAAATTTATGTCAAGTTTTTGTTGTTATTAATTTTATAATATGATTGATTCTCAACTCATAACACTTTTATTCACGTTATTCACTAATCTCTTAACACGTCAAAAATATGCATTTTCTGGATTATACAAATTATCCATTTTGGCGAACATAGTGCCTTCATTAGACCTAATTTTTGTTCTGCAATCCAAACCTTCATCTTTAGACTTTATAAGTAGTTACTTGGATCCAGATCTGGTAAATAAAAGGAATTTTAAAAAATAAAATGATGTCTATTAAAATTTGAATTGGTGCTTTGTCTCTTCAACTGGGAATATTTCCTGACGGTTTCTTATACTATATAATGACGTATAATATACACTACTAATTTGTTTTTGTGTTTTGAACCCCCGGAGTATAGCGCTGGGTCTTCATATCATCAGCATCCATGCATTTGCGTAACAAATACAAATTATTTGGAGTTTTAGAAAAGTTGCAGTAATTGTATTTTTGATTCAAGGTCCATAATCGCGATACCCAATGTGCTTAAAAGTTTTCTAAACCCAACTCTATACAATATTTTCTAAATGTGGCAAAGTGAATTGTCAATAGTTTTAGTAACAAATTCTGATTTGACCGTCATTTAATATCATTGGGTGCACTTTTAGAATATTATAATCGGTTTACACTATCCAATACAGTTTTTATTAACTTATTAACTAATCCGATTATTAGCCTAGTGTATGATAGTGTAGAGTTCCGTCAAAATTATGTTTTTAATAAAATTAAGTATTATTGTTATTATTTAAACATAGAAATTCCATTGTAGTACTACAACTGTTCCTTTTTATTCTCATGAATATCTGAAGTCGGCCAACGAAAAATATTATTAAGAATTATACTGTTAGTAAAACTTGCTCATATTTGTAGAGTTGCATTTAAAAGACAATTCTCCGGAAATTGCTGATATTAGTAATGATCATAATTGGGTTTAAATTATATGAAAGTAAATATTCCAGTTAATACATATTAACTGACTCAAAAGATTTTTATTTTTTTTTAAAACAAATGAAAGAAATATCTCAATATACCAGAATATGCAATTAACAAAGTATTGTAACGAAGTTTATTAAGACATTTTAATAACAATCAAGTTAAATTAATAAATGAAAAAAATTTTAATAAAAAAATTTAATTAAGTAAAGTACTTTAAGCACATAGCTGTCATATAAACTGATGGTTCAGATATTAATTTTTGCAGGAAAAATTTTTTATTTATTATCATATTGTCGGCAGCTCTGTTTGTTAAGTAATAAGATATATAATTTTTTTTTCTATTATTACAATAATATTAACGTAATGAAACCTCGAAACTCATAACAATAAATATTGAGATACCAAAGTACAAAAAAAAAACTTAATGAACAAATTGAGCGGACGCCTCTGCAAATAAGTATTGAATTTAATTATCCCCTTATCATTTTATAGTAATTTCCGTTTTTGTTTTGATTATAAATTCTTCAAAATATTTGTAATTCCGTGGTCTACAAATCATTCAACTGATTAAAGTTAAAAATTTATTATTTTAGCTTAATATATACTTACAATTGAGCAAAAAGTTTTAGTTAATAATATAAATTATGTCATTTTCTTCATAGAGAAAATTTTTATAAATCTGTTTTTTCAAACAGTAGTGAACTACAACGACAAAAATTCATTTTTATATTATTTTATTTAATTGAATATTTGGCTGACCATACAACTGTTTCGATCACTTCGTAAATAATTTTTTTTTCTGAGACTGCAAGTACCTGGAATCGTTCTTGTGTCCTGCCAAATTTGAAACTCAGAGTCAGCGCTTCTTAATCAACTGACCCAAAGCCGTACTTGACTTTTAAGTTCGCAAATTTTTCTGAAGTTCTATTACTTTTTTTACTAAACTTTTGTTACTAAATTTTTATATAAAACAATTTTTTAAATATTTCTATTATTTTTTCTTTACAGAGCAAAAATTTTGTGCTTTTGAGTTAACATAAAACTAGGTAAGTTTAGATTTAGACTGTTTAGACTATTTAAAATTTGTTAATAAACTTCAATTTTTAATACAATATATTTATAATAAATTATCAATCAGAATACTATAAATTTATTTATAAAAAAAGAAAGTTATGATTAAATAAAAAAATAAATATTATATAAATAAATAAATTAATGTTTATTTAATTTATTTATAAATAAATAAAGTTATTAATGTTTATAAAAATGATTTATATAATAATTTATTTATAAATAAATAAAGTTATTAACGTTCATAAAAATAATTTATTTAATTTATTTATAAATAAATAAAGTTATTTATGTTTATAAAAATAATTTATATAACTTATTTATAAATGAATAAAGTTATTAATGTTTATAAAAATAATTTATATAAATTATTTATAAACAAATAAAGTTATTAATGTTTATAAAAATAATTTATATAATTAATTTGTAAATAAATAAAGTTATTAATGTTTATAAAAATGATTTACATAATTTATTTATAAATAAATGAAGTTATTAATGTTTTTAAAAATAATTTATATAATTTATTTATATATGAATAAAGTTATTAATGTTTATAAAAATAATTTATTTATATATGGATAAAGATATTAATGTTTATAAAAATGATTTATATAATTTAATTATAAATGAATAAAGTTATAATTATAAGTTATGAATAAAGTGAATGTTTATAGAAATGATTTATATAATTTATTTATTAATAAATAAAGTTATTAATATTTATATAAACATACCTATTCGATCTGTTGTACTTTGCCCTTTAGTTTTATTCATAAAGTAATCAAATTCACTCTTAAGGTGTGTATTGACATATTAGCTCATAATTTCGTCAATATTATCGGTTAATCATAAATATGAGAAATTAAATTAAAATTTTTTTAAAGATATTGATAAAATTTCTATAGAAATATTTACCTTAACCGAAGCTGCTATCAACTTTATATTTTTTTCTTTGAAAGCTTTAAACAAAGCTACGTGTATTTGTTTATCTTACGCTTGCATTTTGTTCTAACGTGAATCACTAAAATAACAGATACATATATTGTATAATTTGTTAAAAATAAAATCGATGATGTATTGACGTGAGTATAGTACATATTGTTTGAAACCTAAACCTCACGGAATGTTTTACTCATAGCAATCTTCTTAGGTCATAATTTCGAATAACAATACACCCGTAGTTCGAGCGAGAGTCAAAACATCTCATCAGCTTAAATTAAAGATGTTATCTATGTTTTTAATTTAGTTTTTTATATAAGAAACGTAGTCAGACTTTTTAATTACAATTATTTAAATTTTTTTATTTAAAGTATTACATATTTACATTCAATACAAGCGGAAGAGTGTCATTAAAGTAGAAATAGACAATGAATATGATGTGTCGATAGTCAAATTTCATTAAAGTTATTTGTTATTTCTTTTAATGAATATATGAAATTAAGATCTGCGATTAAAATAATAATTTATAATTAAATTTATACATTCCAATAATTAAATTTGTTAGATTTACAAAGAAAATGTCAATTATAGTGAGTTAAATATATAAATATTATACTTTTGTAAATTCAAGAAATATACAAAAAATACATAATTTTGAATAAAAAGATTTAATTAATTTTTCATACAATCTATATTAAATATTACTATAAATCTAAATATATTTGAATCTGTCATTCACTTCACTTCACCTCCTAACCATTGCTAATGAACTGTTTTGCTTTTGGCTAAAATATTTATTCAAAAATATCTTTGCTGTTAAAAATAATAGCGTACAATTCATTTTGAATACACCCACTGCATATCGCAATCCGTGTACCAGGAATGATATCCGTATATAAAACAATGCCTTCAATGGCCATAAAATCAAATTATGTTACAAAAAGTTTTTTCTAATTTATCTACAGTTTACCTTTTGTTTTTTTTTTTTTTGAAATGTTCAGAAACAAGCAATTACCATGCTTCGCACAGAAATACCCGCAATTTTAGGTAAATCTGCGTACCGAAGACCTTACATTGGCATACCAGCTATTTTTAGTTAACTGTTTCATGGCTAACAGAGGTGTGGAACCCTTGCCAATAGGTATTTTTTGTATGTTTTTATTAATCAGTTTTTGCGCTTAATCAATTCTTATCAGTGAGCCAATATTTATTTAAGGTTTTTAGTGCAAAAAACTTTTTTTTATTTATTCATAATTGTGTTGGATGTATTTATTGTGTATAAGTAACAGTCATGAAAATAATAAACAAATATATACAGGGTTTCTATTTTCTCCATAAATAAATACTTTCTTTAGTTTTTAAAATTATGAATAATTCAATCAATTCTTTAAAGTTGCTGGTAATCAATTAAAAATAATTCAGAAAATACTCTGATATATAATGTAATAATATATAAGTATTGAAGAGGAAGTGAGGAAAAAAAAGCGTTAAAACGGTTGACTGTTTTTGGTATGTATCTTTTAAGCAACTACAAAAACGTTTACAATTCTAAAAAAAATTTAGCTAAAACCACTATATGATATAAATAATTATTTATCGTAGAATAGAACAAAACACAAAATACAAAGGCTATCGACTACTAATATAGTAAAGCACTACTACCATACCTAATATTTTACGCTTCTAACTGATCCTAACTGAATGATATTGCAGGCCATTGTGAACCGTCATATCTCCAAAGAAGAATGATGGTTTCCAACTGAAACATGAACTGTTCTAGTCCGATAAAGTAGTTCAGGATAAAGTAATAGGCTAAACAGTTACTTATTGTCCATTCGTGTGTCCAAGCTGCAGATATTTGTTTAATTAATCTTTGTCACCATTCCATTGAAGTGATTAAGGCTATTTACCTCAACCTAGGCTAATTTTAATTTAATTTTCATGCATCTATAATCCATTCTTTATTTTAAATAATTCTCTTTTCTTCTACACTTTCTTAACCCAAGCCACCTTACGCAACTGATGGTTACCTGTAGTGTTTCGCCACTAATTTCTATCGTCACCAAACCATTTCTAGGAATGTACAACCAACATGCCCCAAATGTGGATATATTCTTACCATGAGCCATCTAATAAACTACTACAACAACTCAACCAACGGCACCAACCTTTTCAAACGCAAACAAGAATAGCGAGTACAGTACCATATAATTAAGCCACACTTACCCAGCGATATATTAAATAAAATAAAAATATAATTCTTAACATGAATATATGTTAAGCACAGGGCGAAGGACCTAGTAGTTCAGTTCCATATTTATAGTAAACTTTAAAATTAATTTAAGTGTTTCCTCACAAATAAATAAAATAAATATAATAGTAACAAATTATTTTTCTATTAAAAGCTTCGTTGTAGACCAACTTATTTCACAACAACCCTCCGATCCACAGAATTATTGTCAGTTCCTGCAAGATTATCTGCGAGCACTTTCTTGCCAATATTTATGATAGTTAATAATATTATCTAAGACTATAGAGACCAATTTAAGCTTTCCAATTTAAGATTTCCCAATACTTAGTTTTTTGTATAAGGACAGGTATATCACCACAAAATGCAGATATAAAATGTGATTTAAAAATATATTGCTCAAAATAAGATCTATAAAAGATGTATATGTCAGGTATTCACTTTAAATCAATCTATTCAATATTCAAAACATTCTATTATTGATAAATTAAAATATTAAAGTTATAGTGGATATATACGAGATTGTTACAAAAAAAAAATCAGCTTTTATAAGGCTAATATATGAATATATTTGGATATATACATCCATATATATGGATGTGGTATTACCACCAGTTCAGAAGTTATTGCAGTTTATTTGGACCGTACTTTACTTCAAGCAACTGGCGATTGTGAAAGTTTAATCGTTAATAATTTTTTTTTTTTAAATTAAATATTTTTTTTATCATTGCATTTTTTGATAATGGAAGATACTATTTTTTTCTGACAATAATTATATTATATCACAGCATTTTTGATAATGGAATGGCAGCATTTTTTTTTTTTGTTGAGAAATTGATGTTTTTTTATACTGCTACATATTGTGATATTGGACTCTTCCGGTTAGCGTCTAAATCTTTTTATGATACATGTTCTACTAAAGTAAGTTAAAGAATAGTTTATTGTCTATATATTTCAGTTATTCTTTACTTTCAGACACATTTTATTAAATTTCAGATTAACGAATACTGAACACTAATCAATCTTAATTTAAAAATATTTATTTTTTAGCTCATAAATAAGTGTTTTCTTAAAGGTAAATAATATGGAATCAATAAAATATAATTCAAAAAACTATAATGCCATCTTGAGACCTGCCTACTATATGCTACCTACTATAAAGGAATAACTGGCTATAAAGTATTTTATAGTCTTTTAAACTCTTTTTCCTGAATTTGGGCTTCTGGATTGCTATTGAATGAAAATTTTAAAGCGAAAAATTTCCGAAAAAGACTTAAAACAAAAATAGATTATTAGATGCATTATCTACTGAGCTAAAGGCAATGCTCATCGTATAGGTCAAGAAATAGGTCAATTATTCCTTCAAAAAAACTGAAAAAATAAATAGATTATTAGTTGCATTATCTATTGCAGGACTGTCCAGACCAAATGCGATCGCGGGCCAATAGAAATCACTGTACGGATTGGAGGACCGCAGAAACCAACACATACGTTTATAATTTTTTTAACAAAAATAAAAATGCGGTTATAAATTTAAATTTAGTAATAAAACTAATTGAAATTCATTTATTTGGTATACCATAAAAATAAAAAAATGTAGTAGACCAATTGCAGTAGATCAAAAGGATATTAGCGTAATTGTAGTAGATTAAAAACATGTCGCGGGCCCCACAAAGATTAGCCAAGGGGCACTTGTGGTCCGCGGGCCGTGCTTTGGACAGGCCTGATCTATTGAACTATAGGCAATGCTCATCGCATAGGTCAAACATGTTTACTTAGATTTTT